ACATTACATTACATTACATTACATTACATTACATTACATTACATTACATTACATTACATTACATTACATTACATTACATTACATTACATTACATTACATTACATTACATTACATTACATTACATTACATTACATTACATTACATACATACATACATACATACATTACATTACATTACACTACACTACACTACACTACACTACACTACACTACACTACACTACACTACACTACACTACACTACACCACACTACACTACACTACACTACACTACACTACACTACACTACACTACACTACACTACACTACACTACACTACACTACACTACACTACACTACATTACATTACATTACATTACATTACATTACATTACATTACATTACATTACATTACATTACATTACATTACATTACATTACATTACATTACATTACATTACATTACATTACATTACATTACATTACATTACATTACATTACATTACATTACATTACATTACATTACATTACATTACATTACATTACATTACATTACATTACATTACATTACATTACATTACATTACATTACATTACATTACATTACATTACATTACATTACATTACATTACATACATACATACATACATACATACATACATTACATACATTACATTACATTACATTACATTACATTACATTACATTACATTACATTACATTACATTACATTACATTACATTACATTACATTACATTACATTACATTACATTACATTACATTACATTACATTACATTACATTACATTACATTACATTACATTACATTACATTACATTACATTACATTACATTACATTACATTACATTACATTACATTACATTACATTACATTACATTACATTACATTACATTACATTACATTACATTACATTACATTACATTACATTACATTACATTACATTACATTACATTACATTACATTACATTACATTACATTACATTACATACATACATACATACATACATACATTACACACATGCATGCATGCATACATACATACGAGAGAGGGAGATTGGGGAGACAAAGGCTTGGGGGGATGGGGAGGATGGGGAGCAGAGGGAGGGAGAGAGGACAACAGAACACACAAGGGAGACAAGGGAGAGAGGCAGAAGGAGAAAAGGGAGAGGACAATGTCGGCGGACTGAGCCGGAGGCTCTAAAGTCATGTGGTCCGTGGCGTTGTGTGTTTTCCTTTGGACACTGTCCCCGGCCTTGCTGTGTCCTCTGCTTTGCCAAGAGAGTCAGTGGCTGGCATTAGCAAGCTCAAGAAGTCAAAACGGCTGAAAGCGCACAAGTGCGCTGGAGAACCAAGAAAGTGCAGCTGAAGAGCCGCTGCCAACATAGGGTTCGTGGCATTGATCTCAAAGATGTAAAGACCAGGATCAAATCCTGCCGGACAAAGTCAGATTCTAGGATTCTACAGTAATCAGGAGTGCATACCTAGAGAGAATGCCAGAAGTTTTGTAGAAATGCCAAGTCTTTGTCAGCCGAAGTGTCTGATTACCCACCTGAAACTGTATAGCATCTTGATGGTGTATGCAGCTGAGTCTTGAAAACAGATCTGACATGTCTCAACCAAATCACTGAAGACCGAACAAAAGTGACGGTCTGCTTCGCCTTTGTCGGAATCCCATGAGCATGGCCCCAAACAGCACGCCGGCACGCAGGCACGGCACGTGCCGGCACGCCTGAGTTGTTGGCCCGGAACTCCAAGCGCAGCTCGCCCGTGGGCGGGCCCAGGTAGTCGCCAAGCTGTCGCGTTTGGTTTCGGCAGGGTTCGAAGGCTTGCATTGAAGCTTGGCTTCACCTCCAGTATTCCTTCTTTGAAGCGTCAGCTAAGAACCAGAGCGACCAACTCACAAAACAACCTGCTTCCAAACTGAAGGGAAGCTGCATGCGCACCTTCTCCAGCGCCGACAAAAACCAAATGTACCTGGCAAGGCCCGGCACTTCACAACACATAAGGCCATCCAGGATGGCTTGTCGCACCGGCAGCGCAGCTCCGGTGGTGCTGGCAAGGAGCCCAGGTTCTTAGGATGCAGTGGTCTTTTCTTCAAAAGGCCGCAGCGAGCAAAGGGTAGCAACATTCCTGCTCGTGTCTACATGTCATGGTCAAAACTCCATCAATTCTTGACCATAGTCATGGTCTCCCCTTCAGAGGAATCCTTTTAATGGTTCAGTCCATGACCGTCCCTATCAGAAGCCAGATCTTTTGGCAATGGCACGAAGCGGTTCAGGGCTTTCTCTGTCTTCCACATTCATCCGGCCATGGGTCAAAATCCAAATCGTACCCCCAGTGAACATCTCAATCTCCACTAAAATAGGGTCCAAAATGGTTGGTGAATTCACCTACCCCAAAATGATATCCCATTGGTTTTGACCCACAGCCATCGCTCTTGTCAACCCTAAGGAGAGCGCTGTCGCGGCCCGCACGAGGCTGTAGCGTGTGTCCTCCAGGAAGTCCTGAAGCGAAGAGCATGCAGGGAGGTGGGAAATGACCATTTCTGTGATACAACAAAAAGGGCTTCCCAAAGACTACCCCCCAAAAAAATTAAACTAAGAAAAATCCCTTGTAAAGACTACACCCCGCCAAAAACAAAAAAAAAAACAGAGATTCCCTTGTATGACGGAAGCGGGGATTAACCCCTTGATCCCACAACCCTGATGCAGTTAGGTCGCAAAAAAAAAAAGAAACAAAAAAAAAACTAAAGCGGCGTTAAGGCTGCCGCGGGGTAGCTCTTGATGTCCATGCCGTGATAGGGCCACACAACCTGCCCGCTTGAATTCAACACTCTTCCACATGCGTCTCGTGCATCAAGCTGGACATGCGACATTTCCATGGCACCTCCAGAGTGCCTTCTTTTTCAATGCGGGTAACCAGCTCGATAAATAGCCTTGCGGGTAACCAGCTCGACAAGAGAAGGTGCAATCTGCAAGCTAGAATATCTGCAAGCTAGAATGCTGCGAAAGCAGGGAAGCAAGACTGCGCTAGGCCCCATGCCATATAGTGGTGTTTCTTCCTCTGACAATGTCACTAGATTCGATGCGCGCGTTCCGTAATGCCTCAGTCTTGAAACGCTTGCTTTCCTCTTGGCTGGCTGGACATATTCAATCGCAGATCCATGAAAATTTCAATGTTGAAGCTCGTGAGGCTGGCGCTCTGATAGTGCCAGCCGGGGTGGATGAAGCGACGGGTTTTGGGTCCCAACCTGTCCTCATCGATGCTGCCGGGCGATACTTCTCCACAACTTCTTGCAGTTTGCAAGGATGCCCACCTACCTGCCCACCTATCTGCCCACCTGCCTGCCCGGACATGCTATGTCAGATGTTGAATTCATGTCTTTTTTGTCCGCCCAAATTTTCTTTATGTATCCGGCTTTATCTCTTGACTTGTGCATGTTGTGTTGTATGGAATTATTTACTTATTCATGTCGTTCTGTGGTTCTTGACTTTGTTCAGAGCTGTGTACATATATATATATATATATATATATATATATATATATGTATGTATCCGCATATAAATATATATACATATGTATATATATGTATCCGCATACACGTACTGCTTGCTTGCATTTGTGCTTTTGCTCTTCTTTGTGCGTGCGTGATTGCTCTCGCCCGAGGCCCAAAATGTCCAGCTCATCAAGAATGTCGAGTGACAGGGAGTTGCGCAAGGTGCTGCTGCAGGCTGCTCTTTACGGCTGCTGCTGGGAGTGTGACGGAAAGTTGCGCAGCGTAGCGTCGCAGCGTGCTATCGCAGAATGCCGTTGCAGGGTTCGCCTGCAGCGGCTGCTTGAAGGGTGCTGCTGGCAGGTTTGACGCAAAGTTGAAGAGGATGTTTTTGCAGGTGCTGCTAATGGCCGCTGTTGCTGCTGCTAATGGCGGCTGCTCCTGCTGCTGCTGCTGCTGCCACCGGAGAGTTGCGAATCTCACGCAAACTTATTGACGTGTCTTTCTTTCAAATGATTTGTTTACATTGTGCATATTTTTTGTGGGTTTGGCTCGGGAAAATACTACTGAGTATGATGCCAGGAAGTATTTTCTTACTGGTTTGCTGAAAAGCACTATTATGCACTTCCGCTTGCTTTATATCTGTCGCTCTCTCTCTCTCTCGCTCTCTTTCTCGCCGCCTCGGTCTCTGTCTATGTCATGCAAAATCAGATGCACATCGCCAGCCAAGGATCTGATTGAAGCCCCATTCGAACCACCAGGCCTCCAGCGTCCCAGCTTGCCAGTGCTACTTCATGTCTGATTGCTTGCCGACACCCGACTAACACGTCATCTTGGCTGCAGACTTGGGGACTCTGCACACGCGGATAGGCTGGAATCTGCAGGCGGCAGTCAATGGTACAGCTTGGAAGCTTCCGGAAAAAAGTATCCACTGCCAGCAGCAGATATTGAACATCCCTGCCTCGATGAGGGTGCGCAAGAAGTATGCTTCACCTCCGACGTACCTGCGATACTGATGCGATGGTGGAGTTGCCAAAATGTGCGCGTGTGTGCGTGCGCGTGCGCGTGCGTGTGCGTGTGCGTGTGCGTGCGCGTGTGCGTGTGCGTGTGCGT